GCTATGATTTTTGACACCAGGAAACATCAAAATAACATTGCGAGCTGTGTGTCTTTCGTTTCTGAAGATGATTCCATTTCGGGCATCCCACGTACGCCATAAATCGTTAGGAGAATGGAAGGCCAAACCTCAGGATCTGCCTCAGCAAGATCACTGATGTAATCCTGTACCAAAAACCTCTTTGCTGAAGTTCAATATATTTCCAGGCGGGGAATCTCTCCCCTCCGTAGTTTGCTTCAAAAAAAAAACAATAAGTAGTTGCAATAGCAAGTCAATAGTTCAAGTATAATCCTAGAAACCATGGTAGAGTTGCAATAGCGAAGTCACTAATCATGCACATTCAGTCTGACATTAGGGTTCAACACATTAAGTCTTTTTTTTTTGGGGGGGTGTATCTCTAGAAGTCAAGTTCTGATATCTCTAAATTCTAGCATGCGTGGCTACCAATTTTTTTTTAGCAAAGATGAGCTCTCGTGCCTTGAAAGGATGGTGTTGCCATGTCGCATGGCTCACATAAATAAATCATAGTATTATTTTTATTGGATAGTAATACTACATCGAATAACCTTGTTATTTCGATCCTCCAGATAAATCTATACGAGGAATGTGGGACACAAAACATTAGCGAGCTAAGGATGATCCCATGGGCTCTTGCGTTTTGCGTAAAGAAAGCTCAGCCGTGCGTGAGACGCACGCCATCAATCACGCGTAATGGACTTCTCCGCGAGGCACACACAGGCCGACATAGCTGAAAGCCTGACGTCCTTGACCACGCGTCACTTGGTCATTTGCAAACCACGGTAGAGGCATGCTCTCCGTGCGCGGATCCTCTGGAAAGATGGTGTTGCCATGTCGCATGGCTCACATAAGTAAATCATATTATTTTTAACGGATAGTAAATACATCGGATAATCTTGTTATTTCGATCCTCCACCAGATATATCTATACGAGGAATGTGGGACGTGCAAAACATCGGCGGGCTAAAGGTGTTCTCATGGGCTCCTGCGTTTTGCGTAAGAAAGCTTAGCCATGTGTGAGACACACGCCACCAATCACGCGTAATGGACTTCTTCGTGAGGCACACACAAACACCGCTGATAGCCTGACGTCCTTGAACACGCCTCACTTGGTCATTTGCAAGCCGCGGTAGAGGCACGCCCTCCGTGCGCGGATCCTCCGAAAGGATGGTGTTGCCATGTCTCATGGCCCAGATAAATAAATCATATTATGTTTTAACGGATAGAAAATACATCGAATAACCTTGTTATTTTGATCCTCCACCAGATAGATCTACACAAGGAATGTGGGACATGCAAAACAACATCAACGAGCTAAAGGTGATCCCTTGGACTCTTGCGTTTTGCATAAGGAAAGCTCAGTCGTGTGTGAGACACATGCGACCAATCACGCGTAATGGACTTCTCCACGAGGCACATACAGGCACCGCTGATAGCCTGACGTCCTTGAGTATGCGTCACTTGGTCATTTGCAAGCCGCGGTAGAGGCACGCCCTCTGTGTGCGGATCCTTTGAAAGAATGGTGTTGCCATACCACATGGCTCAGATAAATAAATCATATTATTTTTTTAACGGATAGTAAATACATAGAGAAACCTTGTTATTTCGATCCTCCACCCGATATATCTATATGAGGAATGTGGGACATGCAAAACATTGGTGAGCTAAGGGGTGATACTATGGGCTCTTGCGTTAAGGAAAGCTCAGTCATGCGTGAGACACGCCACCAATCACGCGTAATAGACTCCTCCGCGAGGCACACACAGGCACCGCAGCTGATAGCCTAATGCCCTTGAACACGTGTTACTTGGTCATTTGCAAGTCACGGTAGTGGCACGCCCTTCGTGCGCGGATCCTCACACGGTTGGATCGAGATTTCTATATGAGTTTGTTCTAATGTTCTATACTAGCAATGCTCCTAGTTTTCTACTCAATTTAAAACGTAGCACTAAAGTTCCATGAAATTATAACAATTAATTATAGCCATACGGTAGTACCAAATATAGTTAGCAGGCAATCCAGTCTTGGAGTTCTATATAAATGGAAAACGACCAATTCCTCCAAGTGACTATTGTCACACATACATGTTGCATATATATCTTTTCAGAGTTCATGTAAGTATATTGCCATGAAGTGTCGAGGGTGAAAGAACCGTGCAGTGAGAGTTAAAGCATAATTAGAACTTGTTTTCATAAGGACATACTATATTTTGAATTTTTTTCTTGCCAATGTTTTACCTTGACACCTTTTGTTTCTAGGCTACTGATTTGCAATAACACAAAAAATAATAACCATAGTATTAACTGCACCTAAGCTCATGTGGGTTTCATAGAAACCAGTACATCAAATTCTCTAACAACATCCACGATTTATCTTTTCCATCTATCCGCTTCGGTTATTTTTTTTTTATAACAGCAACATTTAATATATAACGTTAAAGCACAATACAACAGTCTGAGAAAATCATTCCCAGACTACAGAGCAACTTCAAGAAAAAAGAATTGCTGATCTTCAACTGTAGACATAGGTGGTGTTTCCATTGGGGGCGCGGGGCCCACAAGAAGTGGCCGCGACAGAAACCTCGAGGGTCCTCGTTCTCGCACTCCGATAGCACAGCCGGCGCTCTCCTCGACTGTCTGATCAGCCTGTGTCTTCGAGGATATGCAGTCTTAAGCCGTAGATGATGTAGGCTCCACCGGGCTCAAGAAAATGGTTCCACAAAAATCAATGTCAAATCTGCATCAACCATCGTTGACGGTCAATCCGAACACCAATAGTTGTTTTCCCAATTCTATATCTACAAATGAACTGAAAAGCAGACTATTCATGCTGCACTCTCACTTTTTAAGCACTTTACATACGCGTCATTGGCGGAGCCGTCGCCCGAGCTCGTCGACAAAGTGTAAAGAAAAAAAATCTTTGAATTGTATAGAAATATTACATTCTTTTAAGATAAATATTTATGCACAACGAGAATCGCCCGGACTTATAAAATTCATGGCGTGTTGCTAGTAGTTTGCATTCTCAAGTGAACATCCCTTGAAATCAGGGGCGGATCCAGCAGTGGGGCGGGGGGGGGGGGCTCAAGCCCCCCCTACCCACACCGAATCAGTGCAAATTACTGTAGAGCCTCTATGAATTTTTAGGCAAAGTTCTATAGTGTAGGGGGGCTGAGACTTAAGATCGAACAACAGTGTTGTTCAGCCCCCCCTAAAATATTTCCTGGATCCGCCGCTGCTTGAAATCATAGTGTTATAATGCTATTAGAACTAGAAGCATATCTTGTGCATTGCTGCCGGAATTATGGATCAATTACAATAAAATTATACTAATTTGCTTATATGGAATAAACTATTATAAATTAATGATAGTGGATGCGACATACTGATGACAACAATTAAATGTATCTGATAGTGGACTGCTTTTATACCGAGATAGAATGGTTATGGGAGTTTAGGATTATATATATATATATATATATATATATATGTATATATATGTAGTGCATTTTATATGCTCCCGGGAGTAGTTACTCCCATAATTAATAAATCACGTTGCGTATGTGTACATACTCATTTATCAGTTTGAGTATGTTGACGTACTAATATTAAGATACTTCAGATCTTTACTACGTGAATTTTTTTTTCAAAAGAGCACATATTTTTTAATATATTATATAATACTATGATAGTAGTATATAAAATAAGTATAACCATATACTCTAAGTATACATACATACTTGTCATACATAGTGTCATATACGTCCTAAATCTAGAGATATACACATGTGAGTAACTAGTCCTTAGGAGTAGAAAATAATTTCTCCATATATATATATATATATATATATATATATATATATATATAGAGAGAGAGAGAGAGAGAGAGAGAGAGAGAGAGAGATAGATTAAAACTATATATATTATATCTTTTCTAAAGAGCCACATAAATAGTGCCAACCAACCCTCGTCTCTACTCCTCCACCCGTCGGACCTGCACTCGGCAATTTTCAGACGCTCATACGAGGAACGTGTCGCGTCCAGATGAGCCGAAAACACGCTACCGATTATAATTACCACTAAACAAATGGCAGTTATGTATAGCACTGGACAAAACAGCTTTGGAGTCATATTATACTCCAAACCATGAGCTCATCCTCCAACAAACCACTATCTTGTTTGTTTGGCCAAACGTGGGAATTTTTTCCTAGAAAACAAAGCACCAAAACCAAGTCCATGTCCAAGCAGCACAAGCGCACAAAGCTCCCCCGTCGGACGAGCATGGAATCCTCAGCCCCCGGGCCCCGGCAGTCGCAGGCACCAATAGCCGGCTGACAGCGTCCAAATGCCTCCAAACCATGTCTCCCTCGGGCTTACCACTGCTATCTCCGGCCAAACCCACCTCCTCTGACCGGACCAACGCGCGGACAGCGGCGCCCATCGCTGCTTGGCACAACAAAGCGGCAGTCGCGTCTGTAAAAACACGAGAACAAAGCGGCAGCAGTAATAATAAAAAAAATTAAAAACGGGGTTAAAAATCCTAAGGATATTTTTACCCCGCCCCTTGCCCGCGGCGAAGAGACAGGCCCATGCTACCGGCCCGGGCCCGGCCCGGAACGACGAGGCGGGTGAGCTCACCGCTGCGGCGCTGCCTCGGCGCGGTCGTGGTGGGCAACGCGAGGCGGCCGAAACTGACACACCCTCTCCTCTCTCTCTCTCTCTTGCAGCCTTGCTCACACAGCACACACACGACACGCTCACACACGCAGTCACGCTGCGAGAGGGGGAGGACAAGCGACACAGGAAACTGACGTCGCCTTCGGCGGCCTGCTACTCCCTTAAATCCCCTCGCCTCGCCTCCGGCTGCCTCCTTCCTTTTCTCCTTCCCCGCACAAATCGCCCCAGGTGCCAGGTTCGCGGGGGCAGCGGCGGAGGTCGCGACGAAAAATTCCGGCCGGCGGGGGGAAGTGCATGTGAGATCCGATGGCGACGGCTGCAGCGGCGGCCGGCGGCGGTGCCGGCGGTGGTGAGTGTGGGTGTCGCTCGCTGCTGGTCGGGGTGCTTGGGGCCCGAGCTTCCCCACCTCCTAGTGGGGTTGGGTTTGTTTGTGACGACTTACGAGGTTTGCTTGCTTCGTGTGGCTGGGCGTGCAGGTGTGGAAGCGGGATGCGGAGGAGGCGGAGGGAAGGACGCGCTGTTCGTCGAGCTGTGGAAGGCCTGCGCGGGGCCGCTGTCCAGCGTGCCGCCGCTCGGGGAGAAGGTCTACTACTTCCCGCAGGGCCACATCGAGCAGGTGAGGCAGACAGCGAGGGAGGGTGCCCTGACGACGCCGGGGCTGGGAGCTGTCTCTTGTTTCTGCTGTTGATGCTGCCGCTGTATCCTCGCGTTTTTTGAAGGGTTTTGGGTTACGCGTGTGTGCATGCGTCGGAATCCTCGCCGAATTTCGCGTGATCGCAACGGATTCCGGGTTTTGGAGGGGTTTAGGCGCGGGATTATTTGATCTGAGCGCGACGGGGTCCCTGCGCCTCCCCTCGATTTGGAAAATTCCAGGCCTGCTGAGCCTTCTTCGACTGTGCCGTGGCCCCGGATTTCAAATCCTCTTCGTCCGCAGCTTGGATTCGTGGTTCCGTTTCCTGTGTAGCCCGCACCTTTGCACGGAATCGTGGATTCTGACGGGAATTGTCTGGCTTTTGGGGATGATTCGCATGGCCGCTGCAGTGCTGCCGTCCGCGCTGGAGTTTGCTTCTGATGCGGAGGATTCGGCAATTTTGACCCATGGGCACTTCGGTCGCTCAGAATCCGGTCTTCTGATTTGGGGATTTTTTTTTTAGGTTTGCCAGGTCGTCGGTTACTTTTACTGGTCACTTCACTGAACTCAGATGGTTTTTTTTTCATTTCATTTCATTTGACCCTCGAGGCTTGGTCTTTCTTTAGTGCCTCTGCATGGAATGGTATTAGACTGTCTTCAATAGGTCACTCTTATGGGTGTCTAAATTCAAAATGGGTAGCGGGAGATTCAAAATCAGTCTCAGAGTATCTGAATGGAAGACCCATTTTGTTTTGTATGAGAGGCACAACCTAAATGTGAGTATCCTCTCTCCTGAAAACTCATTTTTAGAAATGATTCTTTTTTGGTCCCGTTGTTCGAGAGGATATCAAATAGTTATTGAACTCTCTGAATGGGTCTACGTTGAATGAGTCTTGTATTTTAGTCCTTGTTGCTGGAGATAGGCTTAGAAATCAGTGCCTTTATGGTTTTTTAATGTTATCCAAAGCTCCGCAATTTTTTTACTGACATGGGAGATATGCAATGATTCCTCTTTCTAAGATTCTTGCGCCGCTCTATGTGATTTTGAGGCGCTGATTGTGCGGGATTCTGCTTGTTTCTGCTGTGCTCTCAGGTGGAGGCATCGACGAACCAGCTTGCCGAGCAGCAGGGCACGCCCCTCTACAACCTGCCATGGAAGATTCCATGCAAGCTCATGAACATCGAGCTGAAGGTAACAATAACTTGGCTTCTTTGCTGTTCACTGTAGCATGGTGCGAATGAATATGCTTGATCCTCGTTTCCTTTGCTAGGCTGAGCCGGATACTGATGAGGTGTACGCCCAGCTCACCCTGCTCCCTGATAAGGTGGGTATCTTCTGGTTTTGCTTCATGCATGCTCAGACTTGGAATGTTAACCAGTGCTATGTACTTATGTTTGTGCTTTATTCACAGAAGCAAGATGAGAATACATCTACAACAGTGGAGAATGAGGAGGCAGAGGAGGAGGAGGTGCCTCATGCACCACCAGCCACAAATGAGGGGCCTCGCATCCATTCCTTCTGCAAGACATTGACTGCCTCAGACACAAGCACGCATGGTGGTTTCTTAGTGTTGCGCCGGCATGCAGATGAGTGCCTCCCACCATTGGTTAGGCCCTCAGAACCTTTGACCCATGTTGTTGGTTTAGCACTGCCTGTTGTTGGCCTAATGATGGTGATGCCTTTGATGTTTCTCCTTGATTAGGATATGAGTCAACATCCCCCAAATCAAGAATTGGTGGCCAAGGACCTGCATGGGGTTGAGTGGCGGTTCCGTCACATCTTTCGAGGTGATGCCTCATTGTCTTACTTGTAGTGGATTTATTCCAGAGTAATAGTGTTATGTTCTTTCTTGTTTGTTCACTTAGGTTCACTAGACGAGTGCATGCTTAATACCAGCTTTTAGTTGTTTTTGAATGCACTAGATGCTATTTGTGTGTTGACCATTCACTTTGAATTTAATTGGATAGTTTTCTAGGAACAATTCTGAGTTATACATATACATAAACAGTTTAATTCTATTCTCTAATTAGGGCCATACTGTCACTAGAAATTTATGTATTTCATATTTTTTGGGTTGGCCTGCATTTTATTCGTGGATGGTGGAAGTAGTTTTATCAATGATTCTTCTTCACACTTAGTCTATTTGGTTTAGGAATTCCTGCTCCATTTTTTATGGCGTAAATTGTAACTTGGATAGTTGACGATCTGACACTTGTTAAAATTTACAACTTCACCTTTGATTTACATCAGGTCAGCCACGGAGACACCTCCTTCAGAGTGGTTGGAGTGTTTTTGTTAGCGCCAAGCGTCTTGTTGCAGGGGATGCCTTCATATTTCTCAGGTTTCATACTATGCTATGCTGAGCAGTTAATGTTGCTTGCTCTTAATTCTCCTTTTTGACACTTGACTACCTTACCAATACCCGATTCCTTATATTTATGAGATAGAGGTGAGAATGGGGAGTTACGCGTTGGAGTACGGCGTGCACTGAGGCACCAAACCACTATCCCATCTTCAGTCATATCAAGCCACAGTATGCATCTTGGTGTTCTTGCAACAGCATGGCATGCAGTGAACACTGGGAGTATGTTCACTGTCTACTACAAGCCAAGGTTCGTAAGGAATTATAAGCTTAGTAACATTATTTTTGTTTGTGTGTTCACTTTTAGCAGTAGTGCTATTCCAATCCGTTACTTAATTGATGCATGAAGTTGCATGATTCCCTTGTACATGATAAAAGAATGTTTGGGATCAACGGATAATGAATTGCATGTTTGAGCTGAGTTATTTACTCTCATCCTGCAGGACTAGTCCAGCTGAATTTGTGGTCTCGCGAGATAGGTACTATGAATCACTGAAACGAAATTATTCAATAGGGATGAGATTTAAGATGAGATTTGAAGGTGAAGAGGCGGCAGAGCAAAGGTAAGAGTGTCTGTAGTGGGTATTCGGTTCATTTACATTCCACAACAAAGTTCCCCTTTGGAGATAAACTTTCCATTCTCATTTGTTAGATTCACTGGCACAATAGTTGGAATAGGTGCTTCTGATCCATCTGGTTGGGCTGACTCAAAATGGCGTTCCCTTAAGGTATTGACAATATATTTGTTTCTATGGAAGCAGAGTTTATTTATACCAGCCTTTACCTAACATATTCTTGTGAAATTAGGTGAGATGGGATGAAGCTTCTTCTGTTCCTCGTCCTGAAAGAGTTTCTCCTTGGCAAATAGAACCTGCTGTTAGCCCATCTCCTGTGAACCCTCTTCCAGTCAGATTCAAGAGGTCTCGTTCAAGTGTTAATGCTTCACCATCTGATGTGTCTACTGTAGCCAGAGAAGGTTTGAATTTAACTTTGTGTTGTGGATTCATCTGAAGCTTGTAGTTCTTTCTATCATTACTAATGCACAAATAACCTTTTCATATAGTTGCTTCTAAAGTCATGGCAGAGTCGCAACAAAATAATCTCCCAAGGGCCTTGCACAATCAGGGAAGGATACAATTGACAGGTCGATACTGTGATAGCAGTGATGTGAAGACTGCTCAGGATCTTACCATGTGGTCTTCAGGAACTGAGCAACACAGAAACAATATTGCTGCCCAGACAAACCGAAGTCTAGAGGGTTGGACGCAATCTAGAACTCCCGAAGGTTACAATCAGCTGTTCTCGGCATTTCAACCACTGAAAGATGCACATAGCCCTTTTCCTAGTCAAATATCTGGGACTCGCTCAAATACCTGGGACACAGCCGACGCTCGTTATCCAGCCCAACAAGCCAATCACAACATGTTACCTGGCCCATGGTCTTTTATGCCTCATAGCAGTGATTTTAGGATGAATCAACAGAATTATCTAGTGATGCCTGAAGCTGCAAAGTTTACTGGGAAATCAGCTTTCACTTCACTTCAGGGCCATGGCACTGATCAGCGCTCCACAGGCTGGTTTGGACATATTGAGTCAAGTTCCCGCACAGGCCATGCATCGTCAAGTTTGATCAGGCCCCAGCCTTTGGTTATTGGAAATGATGTTCAGAAAACCAAAGACACTTCATTCAAACTATTTGGTATTCCTCTTGGCAGCCCAGAAAAATGTGAACCTCTGGTTTCCCCACCAAGTGTCGCATATGACGGGAAACTTCAAAGTTCTCCATCAGAAAAAGGGAATCAGCTAGACATAGTTGAAGTGGATAATTGCTCTGATCCTTCCAAGACTGTGAAGCCACTTGATGGTCCTCAGTCAGATTCTATTACAGAGAATAATCAGCCTTGTCCAGAAGCTACCCAGAATATTCAGAACAAAGTGCAAAGTAATTCCACCAGAAGCTGCAAGAAGGTTCACCATACATTGCACCTTTTCCCTTGCTAGTCATCCCTTGATACATAAATACTTACTAGGCCCAAACCTTCAAGTGAATACTTTTCAAAGTATGCTTCAATGAAGTTATGTACTGTTGATCCCTTTTGGCAACATGTTTTATGTATCTAGAAGCACGGTCTGATAAAACCTGCTAGTTGTGTAATCTTTGATGCTAATAAATTGCTTAAAGTTTTTCTTGCCCCTGCAAGTGTCATGTTTGGATATGCTTGACATCATCCACAGAGCTAACGCTTTGAGAATCCTGTGATAAGACTTTTTAATCTTTAAGCAATGTGCCTTTTGGATATATAGTCTAGCCTTATGTAAATGTTTATTAAATACAATATGATGACAAATGTACCATTGTCATATTAGATAAATGACATGGGCCTTGAGAAATCTTAGCTTTCTATCTAATTGCTTCCATTTTTCGATCTTGTGTTGCTTGTGGTATTTCTGAATATGACAAGGCTTTCTCATTTTAGGTGCATAAGCAAGGCAGTGCCCTCGGCAGATCGATTGATCTAACAAAGTTCACTTGCTATGATGAGCTGATTGCTGAACTGGATCAGATGTTTGACTTTGATGGTGAATTGAAGAGTCCTTGCAAAAATTGGTTGGTCGTCTACACTGACAATGAAGGTGATATAATGCTGGTTGGCGATGACCCCTGGAAGTGAGTTCTACCGCCTGAATATCTGTTCTGTGGTGTGTTTGATTGAAATGCCATTACAATTAACTAGACATAACTTGAATTCCTCTGTTTGTGCAGTGAATTCTGCGACATGGTCCACAAGATCTTCATCTACACAAGGGAGGAAGTCGAAAGGATGAACCCAGGTGCCCTAAACTCAAGGTCCGAGGATAGTCTGACTCGCAGGGAAGAGGGTTGACTTCCAAAGAGCACCGAGGTGGCCCGTCTACTTCGACTCCCAATTCCGAGAACTGCTAATTTGTCCAGTCAGTGAGGTAGCTTCAGCAGCAATATCTAGCCCTGGTTATACGGAAGAACTATTTGTTCATCCTAAGCTAATCTCTTGCGTGCTTTTACTTGTTGCAGGCCTTTTGGAGTGGTGAAGCAGACAAGTATCAGAGTGACCGGAGGAATGAGAAAGGGGGTGAGTCTTGTAGTGGTGTAGTAGATACTTTGTGTGTATGCCTCCGGGTAAGCCCCGCGGTACTCAGTTTGTAGATGGTGCTTGTCCTGGTGGTGCCAGTTTCCCGTTGTAAGCTAAGTTTTTGGGTGTGCCCTGTGCTAGGGGTAAGTTATTGTAGCAGAGCAGGAGAGAGCAGGGGCAAGAAACCGCTGGTGCGCCTGCTTGGCCCTCTTTTCCTTCCCAAGCCCTGTAAATAGCCTTGGCTCAGAATCGTAGTAATGTATTTGACATGGTACTCGAAGAGGCGCGCTTGCACTTGACTGTGTGTTCGGTTGTGTTGGGTATGACCTGCAACTGTCGGTTCGATGTGTGCGGATGTCGATGCGCATGTGAAGTCATGTCCATGCAAGAGTTTTGTAGGGTTGATTGTAGCGGAATCTGCTGCCATGGTAGCGGGCTGCTCTGTTTTGCTGCAGGACATGGACAGAGTCGAGCTATGAAGTTGTGGTGCTCGAGCTCGAGCCTCGAAGCGCTGAGAAACGTGGTTCACTCTGAATTCTGTCTGGTGCTTGGAGTAGTACTGAATGCTGTGCTTCAATCTGATTATCTGAATCCCGGGTGAAGAAACTGGCTACTACTACAGTATAGTGCCACAGGGAGTAGTAGTCAGTGAGGCGCAGCACCCAACTCCTGTTCCGTGACAGGGAAGGGAGGAGGCCCCGCCCCCGCGCACCGCGCACGGGGCGTGCGTGACCGAGCGAGTGACCCCGGGCCGACCAGTGTTGAATGCTTGCTCCCTTCCCTCCGTCCCTCCCGCTCCCAGACCCAGATTTGCGGATGCAGCCGTACAGGATCCTACACGTACAAGTGCATGCAGTAACGTACGATGCCGCGCGGTGATGTGGATTGGATCTCTTTGTCTCGGCGCTGCCGGTCCCTGCCACGCGATACGGCCCCCGCAGTACGATGCTGTAACGGCGTCCACCTAGCCCGACGGGATTTATGGCCGTGTCGCTCGGCACCGGCAGCCCCGCCGGGCGGTTTTACTTTAACCGGCTGTTCCTCGACCTCACTCCGTCTCTTTCGACGTCTGAGGGCAAACTCCGTCTTGCTCGACGTCTGCGTGCTGCTCCTTCATAACTACGCGCGTAGATAAGGCAAAGCACTCAAGTCAACTGCAATACCGAGGACCATACCCTGCACGTCTGCAGAAAAGTACCGTCATGATATGACAAGACGGGCGCTATAAAACCCTTCCGGGCATGTCAGAGCCCGAAATCAGTCACACATATAAGTCGGCAAATTATAGATAGTATCATCACCAGTGTTTGTTACATCACGAAGAATATGACATAGTTTTCACATAAATACAGCGAAAGTATAAATATAACTCTCTCGCGGAAGCTCCATAGCACATAGACGTCAACTGGTTGACCACAAGTCCAGTAATCCTCAAGAAAGTCGTCATTACCATTGTAATCTGTTACCCATCCAGGATTTTTATCCAAATAATGAAAATAAACAAGCGTAAGTACATCTCGTACTCAACAAGTATAACATGGGGTTCAAGAGGCTCAAAGGCTTGACACAGGTTTAACAACATTTAGCTTTTAGTTGTCATAATTTTAACATAAGAGTAGCAACAAGTTATTTTAATCCCAAAGTATAACACATGATCAATATAAACATGTGTAATATATAGCAAAAACAATTACTTAATAGTGATCATCTATTCCACAAGGGATCAATGCCGCTCGTGACCGTGAGCACGGCTGATATACCAGTTATACAGTGTAGATGATGTACACTTTCACTGTGAGTCGTGATACCCATTTGCTCGGGTTTATAGCTCCCAAAACACTTCCAAGGTGAGCAAACATGATTCACTATAAAGCCTTTCAAAGGTTCATCTAACAAGTTAGGGCCATTAGATTCACTCGGCAAACAAATATAGGAACCCCTGTCGAATGGCATAATTTCATCACGGCTGTACACATAAGAGTAGAGGTTGTCATATACCCGATTCGACAAGCCATTCTTACGCCACAGAGGTAACCTCCAACAAGCTAGAAAAGGTCCTCATACTGAGCTAAAGCCAGAGCCATGTAGCCCTCACAGCTATACTGTAAGTCACGGATGTTCGCTTACAGATAAGTCCTATGGGAGACGAATCTGAAGCATTTAGAAAGTAGCTAAACACTCCAGCCCCTGTTTCCAAGTTGCTAAAAAGTTATGTTTTAATGTTTATTGTATATACCATTAGTCAGGTTACAAGATCATGGTTTAGTTGAGCACAAGCAAAGCTACCTAATGCATATTCCATAGGAGACAAGGTATAAGTTCAATTTTAGGGAATCCCTATCAAGGTGACACATGCAATATGAATTAAATGCATTAAAGTTGATAGGAAATAAGGATGATCCCATGCTATACTTGCCTTAAACAAAGTGTTATTGTTGATTCTGTTCGTCAAAGTAGTACTCTTGATCACCCACGAAATGCTCATCGTCTATACTCGATAATCACAGCAACATACAAGCATCCAGAAATAATCATGCATAGCAAACAAAGGTTATAGATTAGAACAGTATACCAATCAGCATAAAATCAAGATAAAAAGTTTGTAAAACAAATCTACGTCTTACTACGAACATACAGACGCAAGATCACGAAAGTCGGAGCTAAAACAAAGAAGTTATGAATTAAACAATATTTCCTTTATTAAAATAATAAATTAAATCTAACCTCGAATTTTAAAAGTTAAAAACATACTTAACAGTAGTATAAACATGTAGATTATGCAATTACGAATCTAACGCAACTTGAACGGATCAAATATGAGTTAAAACAAAGATTTTATGGTCTAAATAAAACTAGTGACAAAACTATAAATAGATGAAAGCGTATTTTGGATCTAACCGAATAAACTACGTTTTCAAAAGAAGAAAACGTATTTTAAGAATATGCTTTGGACTGCGGATTCAAATCTACAAACGTGCGGGGGCTCTTTTGCAAAATAGCCGGCTAAATCGGTACCAGCCGATCTAAGCCGTTGGATCAAGATTGAATGGCTGGGAGTAGATCAGAGAGAGAGAGAGCAGACCAGTGTGGCCAGTGGTGAGCTGAGCGGCGAGCTGGCGGCGGCGCCATGGCCGGAGATGGGCGGCATACGTAAAACACGCCCTATGGACCACAGAGAAACAAACCGAGGGCACCGGGAGAAAGAGGAGAGAACAACGAACTCGGCTAGGTAGCTTACCGTGGTGCAGAGCAAAGGGAGGCGGCGCGCGGCTCGCGCAAGGCAAACGGTAGACGGCGGCGCTAGGGTTTCGAGGCGCGGCGACTTGGGACGAGACGAAGCTTGCTCTAGGCTCGATGGGGAGGCGGCGCGGTGCGGGGCTACTATTTCTAGGCGGAGTCGGGCGGTGATGGTAGTGTCCGGCGCGGACACGACTGAAGGTTGAAGATATCGCTGACACGCGGGTCCCACAAGTCAGCGAGACGCGTGGGAGAGAAAGGAGTGGGCGATGCGGTGCTGGGCCGACCTGCTGGGCCGTTGTCGGAGAAAAGAGCGGACGCGCGGGGGACTAGGCTGCTGCGGGAAGATGCGCCGAGTAGTTGCTGGGCCGCGGGAAAGAAAGCAAGGCCAAGCTAGGCCAGATCCAAGAGATGGAGAAGGGAGAAAATAAAATTCCTTTTCTAATTTTCTCAACACAATTTCAAATCCAATTTAAATCCAAATTTAAATCCTTTTGTAAATTTTGATCAAACCAAAGCATCACAAATAAAATATGCAGCAACATGTATGCACATACATGTATGTAAACCTTATATTTGATTTTATTTTTAACAAAGTTATCATTTTTCTAAATTTAAATGCGCACAAAATGCATAATTAAATCATTTTCCCCTATTTTAAAATCTTGCAAATTTTAGGGTGTTATAATTCTACCCCTTAAAATGAATCTCGTCCTCGAGATTCGGATGATGCTTACTCAAAAAGCTGCGAGTATGTTTTCCTCAGATACTCTTCTCTTTCCCAAATAGCCTCATCTTATGTATACCTATTCCACTGAACCTTACACATCTTTATAACTCGGCCCATCGTAACTCTTTCTGCCGTCTCTAAAATCTTTACCAGAAATTCCTCATAGGTGGGATCTTTCTTAATTGTAAGCTCCTCTAACGGTATCTGCTCCTCTAGTACACGCAAACACTTCTTTAATTGAGACACATGAAACACATCATGTACACCTGACAAACTCTCAGGCAATTCCAACTGATAAGCTACTTCACCACGTCTCTCTGTAATTTTAAAAGGCCCAATATACCTTGGTGCTAACTTTTCTTTCATATTAAACCTTCTCGCACTTCTCATAGGTGATACTTTTAGGTAAACATAATCCCCCATTTCGAAAACCAATTCTCTTCTGCGTCTCTTAAAACATCCGGTCCGAACACTTGAGTTTCTCCCGTTTGATTCCAAAACAATGGGGTTCTACACTTGCGTCCATACAAAACCCCGAAAGGTGCCATATTGAGACTCTTTTGATGACTGTTGTTATATGAGAACTCTGTATAAGGCAAACTCTTGTCCCAACTTGTACCGTACTGCAACGCACAAGCTCTCAATATGTCCTTTAAAATCTGATTAGTTCTCTTGGTTTGTCCATCTGTCTAAGGGTGATATGTTGTACTAAAATTCAACTTTGTTCCCAATAAACTATGTACTTGTTGCAAAAAATGAGACATAAATTGAGTACCTCGACCAGACACAATTTTCTTGGAAACTCCATGTAGACACACTATCTTCTTCATATATCATTGGGCCAACTTCGGTCCTTTATAATGAGTCGTGACTAGAATAAAGTGAGCAACCTTAGTTAACCGATCCACTATCACCCATATTGAATAATAACCTCTCTGAATGCATGGTAACCCAACAATAAAATTCATACCAACTTCTTCCCACTTCCATTCTGGTATCTTCATTGGTTGCAATAATCCTGCAGGTCATTGATGTTCTGCTTTAACTCTCTGAC